TTTTATACAAATTGTTCAATTTTGTATAAATTCATTTATACATTGTAATTTGTATAATAAGATCTGTATTTGTATAATTATAAGTGTATAGGACGAAAATATATGTATTTGTATTTGTATATACACTTTTCTCTCGCTTTATACAAACACAAACACATTTTATACCGAAATGTATAAAATGACTAATTGTATACCGAATCAGATGACAAAAAAAAGGGATGTTTGCTGCGAATTACAAATAAAATAAACTATGACTATAACATTTAATTTGAATTAATAGTTTGCTATTTCATACAATTTTTTTATTTTTTTTTATTTCCTGAATCGCAAACTGTAGGACCCATTTGAGGATGATGCTCCCAATAAAATTTTCTTTATATCTAGAATTTGAACTCGAGACCTCTGATTACAAATGAAGGAGTCCCCTATTACTATATGTTATTCTACCAAGGAATCTTTTCCTACTTGTAATATAAATAATACTACTCCATTAAAACACTAGACTCAGTTCCACTTTCTCCTTAGTTTTATTTTATTTTTCTCTCCGAAGATGGCTGATTTTGGGAGCACTCTCTTCAAAAATATAATACGAACTCGTAAGTTTTGATCTATTAATTTTTTTTAATGATATATATTATTATATGTTGATATATGTATTTTTTTTAATATTTAAATATTTACTTTTTTATATTTTGAATTTTTATGTAAAAAATCTATTTTTTTCGATCGGGTGTTATGACAGTTGTTATGGCTCCGGTGTATACTACAGCAGGATATGTTGCATACAGAACTGGACGCTGGTACATTTCCTCATTTCTCTGATTTTGCTTTGTAGATCGTGAATTTTACTGATTATATTTGTAGTTTATCGAGGATATAATATTAAAAAAAATACTAATTTTCTTTTATTATTTTCCTGATATCGTATTTTTTTTATTTTATTGTCTTATATTTGACTATTGTTTATCTATTTTTTCACTACTGTATTTACTTAACATATATGATTTGTGATATGCTTTTATACTTTGAGCCGATGATCTATCGAAAATATCTCTCTACCTTCTCAATATAGAGAGTAAGACCACATACACATATCATCCTCAGATTTCACTTATAAAATTATATTGAATATATTATTATTATTATACGTTAATTTGATTTTTATGTAATTATTATTTGTTCTATTGGTAAAATAATGATAAAAGTGACCTTATGTTGTAGGGAGTATAGATTCAAAATTGCTCCTTAAAAGAAGTTTTAGTCCTCTAAGTTTATTAGTATTAAATATTTTAAACACAAACTCTATTAGATTTTATAAGAAAACTTGTGATTTTTTTTCTTTATTAATATAATAAAAACACCAAAAAAGTCCAGTCAAATCTTATTTTGTTGGTGCAATTTGTGTTAATGACAGGTTCTATAATCATGAGATGAGGAGGCTTGCTATAGTGAGGTACGATCCATCTAAAACTTTAAGTTATAATCATATAAACTCGTAAATTATTTATTTATTTTAAAAATACATATATTCTTATTTGACATGAAGAGAATGTTCGTATCATGTGAAAGATTTATATTAAAGAACAATTAATTACTATTATTGTTGAATTATTAGATTAATAGATTTTTATAAAATTACATTCAATTTTCTGACCTTGCATTCCTGTCCTTTTCCTTTACTTCTAAACTATTAGATGGTGCAACGTAACTAATTAAGCCATTTCATTTGGGATGAGATAATAATTGAAAGTTTGTAATGACATCTAATTGCAATTATTGTTATAATAAAAGGGACATGAAAGTATGTGATTTGTTAATCTAATGGAATATTCTAATACTTTGTTTACGAACTATAATTTGATTAATTGGTAATTAAGATTATAAGAATTTGGGAAGTTTTAATAGTTTTCACTTTTTTCAAATTGCAAGATTTTCATGATTATGAGAGAAAAAACAGCTCTTGATATTTAAATTATATGACCAAATAAAATATTAACTTCAAATCATCTTGATTACAAATCATGATTTGAAATCATAGTCAAAAGAGATTCTATGACAAAAATTCAAGTAGGAAAGTCGTTACAGTTCGTTATTGGACCATATGCAACGAAAAATTCAAAACAAATATCAAACATTAGATAACTAAAAAGTTGACCGTGGTATAAGTTTAGATTTTAGATGGACTAAATTGTGGTAGCATTATAATTCCTTTAAAATGTATTATTTGAGAATATTTAAGATGACTTTGTACTCTCATTTTCTTTCTAACATTTATATATATATATATATATATATA